GTCCAACAGGCTCCGCAGCGGACCAATCAGCTCCGAGTAGCTTGGAATGGAGCTCCGCATCCAATTTGTCGCGCAGACAAATTGTTACAGATCGGCGCCAGACGTAGGCGTCTCCAGTGCACACAGGCCCTGAACTCGATCAGGGGAATGGGATATCCCTCCGGCGGAAATCACTTTTCCGCACCACGTGGCTTGCTTTAAGAAGAAATCGCACTTCTTCGGATGTAGACTGAGGCGGAACTTTCCGCAGATGGACAGCACCTTGTCCAACAACACAAACAGCTTGTCCGAGCTGTCTGCGTACCCCAGGAGAACCCAGCACCCCGGCGTACAACAGTTCGCCGAACATATGGTTCACCACGGACTGGCAATAGGCTACGGCGTCCATCTGTCCCATAAGGATTCTGGTTGGCGTGTAGACACCGAACGGTGTCATGAACGAGTACCACATCTGGCAGGATGGGAGCAATGGCAACTGCCAATAACCCTTCAGCCAGTCCAACGTGAAAAACACGTTCATGCCGACCAAAGTCGCCATCGCAGCGTCCAGGTTCGGCATCGGTCACGGCATGGGGATCGTCCATGCGTTGATCGGGCGAGAGTCGATGGTGATTCGATATTCGCCCGGGGCTTTCTTGGCGACAATCCGCGGCGCTACCGCCCATGCCGCACGGTTGTTGCGGTAGACGAGGCCTGCGGCCTCGAGCTCTTCCACATGCTGTTTCAAATACTCCATATGGGCCGGCGGGTACCGGCGCAACGCACACTTCACGGGCACCGCTCCTTCCTTCAACCGTACTTTCAACGGCTCGACATCCACCGGCAAGTCTTGCCCAAACTCCAGACGAAAGACATCGGCGTGATCACCTTAAAATACGCCGGAGTTCGCTTTCATGCGCAGGGGAGAGGCCAAGCTGGATGGTTTCGGCAATCTTGCCGTCAAGAATGCGCTTTATCTCGCCGTCTTGGTCGGCGGGCTTCTCCATTGCGGGAGTGGAACACGCCACGTCCTCGGCGTACAATGCGTCTTCGGGGTATTCCTGGAACGCCTCGTGCAGCAGCTTCACGTTTGCCGACGTCTGGTCGCCATCTCCCGCTTCGGCCATATCCCAGACTCGACACTGCTTCAACGCATCGAGAAGCATGCCGTCGACTGAAAACCCCAGTCGCTCCATAACGGGACGTCCAATGAGAACGTCGATCTCCATCTTCATTTCTTCGACCCATGCACTTTAGGAATTGTGAGAACGTCCTCGATCGACGCTTGGCACTCCATGCTGTTCGCAGGCTTCGTGCTCGACACGAAGTTCACCGACCGACGGCGCGCCTGATGGAAGTCGTCCATCAACTTCTTTACCTCGGCATCTGTAATGCCAGGGTGTTGCCGCACTGGGTGTGCCGTTGACTGACACTTCAGGCACTTGGGCATCGGCCGCTCTGGCGGCTCGTCTCTTTTATCGGCACGCCAAGTAGGAGGCGCCACAGACGCGCCACTGGGCCGCTTTTCTTCGGGGACCGGGCTGAAACGTGGACGAGGCCGCGAGTTTTCCTTTCGCGCTCCTCTGCCGGCGCCTTCGAAGGTCTTTCTTCGTCGATGCCGCCATACAGCTGGTACCCAATGGCGAATTGCCGCAGCCACTTGACGTAGCGAAACACTTCTGACTTGAGCACTTTGTTTCGCTGCAGTTGCAGCTGCTTCGTCAGGGCCAGCTGGAGCGGTGCTGGCTTAATCGCTTTGGTGATGATTCCCACCACCAACTTCTTCTCCTGATGGAGTACCCACTCTTGGCCGTCCGCGTCGAGGGTTTTCATCAAGTTGTCGAGCATTCGACTCACTCGACTGTCGGCGTCGAGGATCTTGGTGTCGAACTGTACGGCCACCTGAAGGCGCTTCGTCAGCGCGTCCAACTCAACGGGTTCTTCATCGTAGGCCTCCAAGAACCAGGACACCCACTCATCTTCTGTCACATCGCCATGTGACTTCCCAAAGTTAAACATAGCAATACGTCGCTTTGCATATACGCGCCGACAGGTATCAAAAACGGACGTTGGCCCATTGATTGCAGTGCCATGATTTGCGACGTGTATCGCAGGCATTCTCGCATAAACGCACGACGCTCGGCTTTCGTCTATCCCTTGAAAGAGGGCGGCAGCGGCAAAGCCGGTGCGTTCAGCACTTTCACGGGCTCGTCTTCGCCCATGTCGAAGTCACCAGGTGCACTCGTACCCGCAGATGATGCGTAAGGCACCGGTACTTTCGCCGCAGCTCGCGTTGGCACAGCCGATGGCGTCCAACTTGACGTCATCACCACTCCACCTTGGACACCAAAGGCCTTCCGATCAACGGGTTGGGGTTGGTTTCTTCGAGGAGAGCCGAAAGGCCCACGGAAACGTCCGCGACCTTCACGCCCTCGTGGAGCGATATGCACTGTTATGCACTGTATGCACTGTGTCGTTGTCGCGCTCCGGCGACCAAGACTTGCGGCTTGACGGCTCCACTTCCATATCACTCATTGATTCAGATCGATACGTGCTCTAAAGAATTCTTTGTTCCGCACCCCGTACTGTCGATCAGCATAGCAACCACAACGATGATGCGAACTGACTGGTATTAACCTTTTATACTAACGAGTCGTCGATACCGGCTACGCGTCGAAACCAGACGGTTCTCGACCTCTCATGTAGGTGCGGTTTGCCCTCGGTCATTTCCAAGGGCACACAACGCACTTCTGCGGACGCGGCAGAAAAATGAGGGGCAAATGGAATCACTACTGGAGGTAAGGTGGTGTTGGCGTAGCTACAGTAATGTTCAATCAGGACCTACCTAAAGCGCAACCATTACTCTTAGCCGCATTCGTACGTTTTAAAAGTCGCAAACGTTATTGTGTGGAATGCGCTACACAAGGGATCTCACCATTGGTCCCCATGCATCATGGCGAGGCGCCGGCTGACTGCCTCCGATAACAACAGTACCCCTACGTACTGGTTCGACTTGCCGTTTTACTTCACTATGCTGATCGACACCGTTTCGTGTGTAATGTTGGCTCGGCAGTATTTCAACCAATAGAAAGCCGTACATGTTAAATGTTACTCCTGGAGTAGTGATATGTTGCTCCTGCGACAACCGCCTCGTCCAATCGGATTGTCGCAAAAAATACTGACCAATCCAAATTCAATCATTTGTCGGTCATCCAATCACGGGGCAGAAGTTTGTCGTGTCTGTCTTATAACGTTAAGTACTTCGAATTATTTATATGGATTTCAAATATCCGTGATATGTAGTACTGTATCATGTGTCATCCAAACGTCATCCCAACGTCATCCACCATTAATATTATGTCATATCCCAATTACCATAAATTAGGATAATGCTTGGTCATTGCATCCGTACAGGCCTCGTCTGGGAAGTGGCACGGCCTACGGCCTACCTGCCGTTGCCCCACAAGAAGAAAAGATGATCATTCGGTGAAGTGAAAAGCTTAGATCCGCGCTCTCGTACGGCCGCGCTTGCGCAGACGGCCTCCCGGGCGCTCGGGGCCAACGTAAGGCTTAGTCACTACTTTGGTTTCATCCCACAACTTCATCCCATGTCATTCAAATGTCATCCACATGTCATCCACGCTTTTAATTCAACAATTTTATTTTATTAACCATAGTATCCAAGGTTGGTATTAATATTCAATGTTGTCCCGTAAGTCTTTTCAACACCACGCCCATCCTCGAACTGACCACATGCAACCTCAACGGGCTGAACGCAAACGGACACCTTGTGGCGCAACGCCTCAAGTCACCAACCCAATGCGTTCTCTTCCAAGAAACCAAATTCAACAACAACAAACATCTCGACACGTTCAAGTTCCACCTTTCCAACGAAGTTGGTGCTGACGCGTACAAACTCTTTACCAACGACCACCGGACTTTGCGGTCGGATACACTCAATCATCGAAGTAGTAATTACCGGTAATAACTTACCATGAGATTAATTGCATGTCCCAAGCCTCAAATGCAAATTGAGGTCAAGATAATCTAGCATGCTTCAATCATGTTCACAGATTCTGGTAAAGTAAGGTATTATTTGACTGAGGTATTTCGTGTATATTTTGCTCCTCACGTAGCTCACGTTTACGGAGCCTGCTGCCAAAGTACTTTATACTTCGAAGTACTACAGAACTCCGAATCCCCGTATATACCAATACGAGTACTGCAATCCCTCACAAACTCGACGTTTCAGTACATGCGCATTATGGACTTTTGATTGAGTAACACTGCATTTTATTGCTGAAACGTGTCCATGCACACTACCAACTAGCTCAGCATTACTTGCTCACCATTCTGCAAGACAATATGATATACATCGCTACATATTCATTCATAAGCATACCCACTCTGGCTGGAACTGCAATGTAAAATACAATTGTACGCATTAGATGTTACCATTGCAAGTCTCGAACATCTCGATTGGACGTTCTCCTAGGCGCATTTACACCGTAAGCGCCACAATCCCCACGGCAGCGGCTACACCAGACAACACCAAATGGTTGACCGAAGACGGAGTTGGCTGCGCGGTTGTGGTCGGGGTGGCCACAGTAGTAGCATCAGGCGCTGCAGTGGAGGCGACGGGGGACACGGACGACAACGTTAGCGGCTTGCCGTCCACCTCGACCGTCTTGGACAGCTCCACACACTTCAACTCGGGCGTGCCATCGTCCACCCCCGTCACGGTCGCAGTGAAGCCCTTCTTTCCTCCCAACAACCGCGCGTTTTCCGCGTAGTTCTTGGCCAATGCGGAGCCGGCTGCACCCAACTGGTACTTGACCGTGTACAGCTTGGAGCCGTTCTCGGGAGGCGCCAGCAACGTGTACAACGAGTCCACACACGGCTTGAGGTCCACGAGGCAGTGAATCGAGTGCACTTCGGGGCCCTCGAGTGTCTTTACGGTCGGGTTGTCCATAAGCTTCCCCAAATCGATGCAGTAGTTGTCCATGACGAACCCCGTCGCGGTGACGTTTTTGCCCTGGGCAGAACAGGTTTGGGCGGACGCGCCATTCGCCATCGACAGCACCACAAGGAACGACGCGAGGAGGAAGGTGGAAGGTTGCATTGTTGTCGAATTGAATAATGAGAGTTCGGACATCTTGGCTCGGGGTGAAGTCGAGGACATTCGTCCTGTACGGTATGTGTGTTATGAACACGTGTCCAACATATCCATACATTTGGCTTTGTGGCTTCAAACGTCTCCCCAAAATAATTTGAGCAACATCCATCGACTTCCAAGTTCGACCTTGGAATTCAATGTGTTTTTATTGAAGTTCGTGTTAAAGGTGGTAGGTAGCACCAGCAGCCGCGATCTGTGGAATCTACTGTAGAGGAGGGGGAAGCACCGCCCACGGTTTCGGTGTTGGGGTTGTATTGTACAATGCTGGGTGAGAAGTGTACATTATACTTAATGGGGTTGCGTTCCAATGCCAGCAACCTACTAGAGCAATTAACTAGTATCTACTTGGAGGCAGTCATGGCATCTTGGTTGGCTGACTTCTTGCGGGCATTTTTGGCGCCCTTGGAGAGTGACGGGGGTTGGAGTACCAGGGAGATGATGTAGATCACTTGGTGTTGTACAATGCTGGGATGGCATATGAAATTCGGGATCCAGGATGCTTACGTAAATGCGACGGACGAGTTGTTTGAACTCGAATTATTATTTAAATGTACTACTGTAGTATATTGTACTATGTATTAATAGTATGAAGCTGCAGCAACGTTCAGGTCGAGTACAGTACAGTATAAACGATACTGTACTACTGTACTGTAGTACAGTTGTAAGGTTATGCACCGCTCGCAAATCAGCCAATCAGAATAGCCCCCTCGGTGAGTGGACCCTTCAATGCCACACTGAAGCCGATGCTTGTAGCGACCGCCAAGGATGCCTGTCGACGTGAACTGCCACAGCAGACAAAGATGGCATTACCGGTACGTGAACGGATCGCTATGTGCACTGGTTGTTGGACGAGTATCTAGGATGATTTGTTATTGCGATAGCTGACGCCAAGCGAATGTTCAAGTTGCGCGCGTAGCCATGAGACACACAAGCGGCAACGGACTACATAACAGTAAGCTAACGTTACAGTAAATTTGTGAAGCTCTGACGCATTTTCTCGACCACAGATAGTCTATAGGCTGCGGCGCTGTGAGTCGTCCACCACACAGCTCACGATGAAGTAAGTCCCATTTCATATACCAAAAGTCCAGTGCCCATCAGCATTCTCCATGACAGTTTTCAGTCATGGAGGATGGTTGTCGTGGGTGGACGGACGAGGGAAACCATTTTAGCCAATGATATAAAGTAAAAAGTGCGTAATTCCATTCTTCATTCATTCTCAACATTGAAACCCCCTAAAAATGCTGTTGACCACGATTAGTCGCGGGAAATGTGCGTCTTGTGCTGGGAAGCTTACATGTTAGTACACCCAGAGTTGGACTTACGTGCCAACTATCCTATACCGGAACTTTCAAATGCAAGAAATTTATAGTCATTTTTTTAAAAATATGTATTATACAAAGCGCTTCATTTGCCTTCATACAGTACTATTAATAACAGCAAACCGCACCATGTAATATGAAACGTGAATACTACGTAGTAGAACTTACAGTTAAAACTTTTCAGAGGTTTCGGTGGTACAGCTGTACGGCATGTCACCATCGCCTTGCCCGAGATTTTCTCAAGGTTGGTTATGCAGATAGCGTTACATACTTGCAAGCCTACTTGACCACAGCGATTCTGTAAGCCCCGCGCACCAAGATACAGTATAGAATGTATTATTGCTACGGACTCTTGTCCAAGAGTCGTGACTGCAAAACGCTCTGCGGTCGCGCTGCTTGGACATACCCGCGTCCACCGCAGCGTCGGAACGAGAGTCACCGGCATTCACTGCCGATGCGATATCTGCCACGAAGCACATAGCTGCCGCAGCATTCACATCGGCAGCAGGGCCGAGGTTGTCCGCCGAACACTTGGACTTGTCGGCATTTCTCACCGGTCGCTATGGGAAACTACTGAAACTGCACGAATGGACTTTCCATGCAAATTGTACTTCGTAATGTACTGTAGTAAAGTATACAGTATTTATCGGAACAATTAGATGGGATACCGGTATCCCAATCGTGTGCGTGGGACAATGTGGATGTCCCAACCCCAAATTTGCGTCTGTTGGGACATATTTGGGGATGCGGTGGAGATGCTACAAAACTCCATTTTGGGGCAAAATGACATTTTGGAGAAATTCACTTGGCCCGTCTGGGAAAAGTTGGGAGAAACTGTTTCTTTGATATTTCGGTCTCAAATGACATTTAAAAGAATATATTGGTCAAGGGTTCTTGTTTCGCCATTTTGTGATGGAATGTCCACAAGTGCCATTCGTGACGCACGCGGTACATATCCCTAGCTCTCATGAGTCCCGCTAAGCCTCCAAAGTACCTCATTCCTTGCAAAGCTCGATCGGGTACAACACGCATACACATGCGTGTTGTACGATCGAGCTTTGTACACAAATCGTCTCCCATGACATCAAGATTCGAGGGATATTTCATAATAATATTTGATGACTTGTTAATGGAATTCGCAAGGTGAGCCACCTTGCTCCTTTTTAATATCCAATCAGAGTCCATCACACCTTATTTCTTACATACGATTGGCTATAACACTGACAGAAGAGGTTACAATTTTGAACTGCTGTAGGTACATATCTACGTATCTGACGTACCTTGGCACCATGTAATTAATTTGTTTAAGGGACCACCCACGAAGAAAATGTCGTTTCGCAAGTGAAAAGAATGGAGTCGTTTTGAAACTGTCAAGGTCGACCACGTACCCATAATATTTTTGCTAGATCTAAATATCCATTCCGCAGTCACAGGAATAGAGAACACGGGAGGTAGCATCGTTGCATGCCTGGATTCAAGATCAAAACACCGAATATGTGTTGTAGCCACATTCATATTCAAGATCAAAACACCGAATATGTGCTGTAGCCACATTCATATTCGTTCCTCTTGGTGACCTCGCATTGATAACCGAACTTTCGACGATTGGCCGAGCGAGCAGGATTACCGAATAGAAATACAGATTTCGTATTGGACATAATAGATCACCCCAAGAATTATACCTTTATTATCTTATGGTCCTTAGTTGACGAAATTGGTCATGTTTCCCTCCAATATACAATACCTGCGAAAATATAGATATCTACACTAGGGTAATTATTACTACAGTACATTGTACGTGGTATACAATACCTGCGAAAATATAGAAAACTTTTATAAATTAGATTTTTTAGGGGGCTGTAACGAGCATGTTTGCAAACTTGGCAAAGCCCACCACTAAACTATATCTACAACTATACTGCTGTTGTTGTGAAGTGAACTATAATAACTGCAAGTAAACACCCCATTCAACTCTTTCTTTAAGGTCTACTCATGCGCAGCTTGCAGTTCGCGGCGAAGGATCTTCCCCGACGGGCTTTTGGGGATGGCGTCGACAAACTCAACCTGGCGCACCTTTTTATACGGCGCCACGCTCGCCGCCACGTACGCCATCAAGTCTACGCAATCATCATCAATCATAGATCGTCCTGTTGACGCTATCATGCTGAAAATGATATATATTCATGAGTACAAATTGATCGATGCATGTCGGATGTACGAACCTTTGGCAGACAGTGTCGCATGGGGCTTCAACACCACACACGCTTTCGGTACTTCGTCGTTGTTGTCGTCGTACCTAATCGTGTACTAGTTAGTATATCATACCCCCATGTATTAATGAGTACTAAACAATAGAACGCACCCTCGAATACAAGCTACGTCCAGTACACTGGGATGTTTGAGGATCACATCTTCCAATTCTGCTGGCGCCACCTATTTACTGTACGTTAGACTTATAGACGCCACGAAACACAACCCCAAACCTCCCAGGAACATACATTCTCCATATGATTGTGGATTTAGAGTGTATGTACCTGGTGACCTTTGTACTTGATCAACTCCTTGAGACGGTCCACAACGTAAACGTGCCCGTCGTCGTCGATATACCCCAAATCCCCCGTCTTCATAAACCCACACGATGTCATCGTCGCCTGCGGGAACATATATGTACATGATCAACAAGTAGGTACTACCGAATCCAGTATGTACTTGTACGAGGTACTACCTAATCCAGTATGTACCCCTTGTACGAGGTACTACTGACTGTACTACATACCTCGGTCGCCGAGTGGTTGTTGAGGTACCCAAGCATGACTTGGGGGCCGCGGTACCACAGTTCACCCAGCGCATGCGGCGGCAAGTCGGCCCCTGAGGACGGACACACGACGCGCAGCTCTGTGTTTGGCACGAGATTTCCTGATGACGACTACAATGTATTGTTAGTATATGTAGGAACCCCAATCATTTTCCCATTAACTAATCATACTCATAGGTTAGGAGGAAGCTTCACGCTTGCTTAGCAATGATATTTGGGTTTCAAAATCAACAAACAACGTACATCATAGCGTGATATATAGATATTAATACCCAAAACGATTACAAAACACAATATTCTTATCATCGAACCCTCCTCTGAGCTCGGTAGTATGTAGCACATCTAATCGATATGTATATCGACACGAAACAATGACCATCCCAATACATGATATATATATATACATTTCCATACAAATCAACGTACAGATTTGATGCTTGAGTCGTGTGAGTACGTGGCCACGGGAGACAACTCAGTCATCCCATACGCTTGCTTGATGGAAATGCCCAGGCGATCTTTCACCGCTTGTTCCAGCGCTAAAATGAAATATATACTGTTATTATCGCTGCATATCCGAAATATTATTATTTTCAAATAATATATCGCAGGCAAACACCGAACCAACGTTGCAAACTTTTTCCACACATACAACTATTCTGTCCAACATGCAAAAAAATATATTTACAACATGTACTAGTATTACATATAGATATATCTGATATTATATACAAACACCGACCAACCTGCCCCAGAAATGTATGTCTGTTTGCACACTTCAAAACATGTAACTATTCTATCCAACATGCCAATATATATATAATGTAGATATATTTATACATAAATATATAGTATATATCGATAGAGGCAATTAGTGTATCCAACATCCATTTACATAAAACATATATTATATACGTATATTATATATATATTGATAAACGAACAACCTACCATGACCCATGGGCGCGGCGCCCGACACCAATGTCGTTGTGGCTGACAGATCGTACTCGTCCACAAGGGGATGCTTGGCGAGGAAAGCAGCGAGCGGCGGTACGATATGAGCTTTTTGGATCTACACGTGTCAGTCTTCTGACAAAGTATACCCTCCAAACGAGCACTCATATATGACCAGTGGATCGATATATACCTTGTACTGCTGCAGCGCCTGCAAAAATGTGACAGGGTCAAACTTGGGCAGAATCACTTGCGGCTGGCCACTTAAAAGCACGCCATTCATGAGTGTCGTGCCGTAAATGTGATTATAAGGCAGCATCGCCAGTGCTGGCGACGTGAACTTGTCGATGGTTTGCCATTGCAAAGCGTTCACGGCCAAGTTCCAAAACGATAAGCGGACGCCCTACAAAAAACAAAAATATCCACGGATGTTAATACACCAATACAGTCAATGTATATTAATAAGAAAAGATGATGGGAATGGAGGAGACACATGTTTCATTCCCTGAAATTGGGGATTGGATATATATATATATATATTCCACGGATGTTAATACACCAATACAGACAATGTATATAAATTAGAAAAGACGATGGAAATGGAGGAGACACATTGTTTCATTCCCTGAAATTGGGGATTTGATATATATATATATATATATATATATATATTTGGAAAAATTAACAAGGACCTTGGGGGGACCTGTGGTACCGCTGGAAAACGGCAAATAATTCACGTCTTTGTGGGCGTGAATGATCACTTCAGGTCGCAATGTCGACGACGATGTCGTCGGCTGTTGCAACTCGCTACGTTATATTTCGTGAGGGCTTTGCCGATATTTCAATAATATATATATATATATTCAAGGTCAGTGAGTGATAACATGCCTGAACGATTGAAGGCCAGACGGGGAGCTACCGACAGAAAAGATGTGGTCTGTTGGAATGGACTCCGACTTGGCGGCATCGGTCGCCGCATTTTCCACCGAGTCGTGCGTGACCACAAACTTTGCCTATTGTCACCAGGGCGTGCCACGTCATGTACAACACTGCTAGTTGTATTATGTACATACATTGGACGCTTTGAGTTGTTGTGCAAGTTCTGCGCCGGAAAACGATGGAGGCGCAGGCGAGAGGATCGCGCCCAGGGACGTTAACGCTAGCAGACAAGAGCATGGAATGCAGAAACCGACGAGGGAGTAGGCAAGTCATGTACGTACCGTGGTAGAGCACTGGGTACTCAATGCAGTTGATCATGTTTGTGAGCACGACCTACGACGTCGATGAGTCATCGGGTACATTATGCAGCAGATATAAACTTGCATCGCCTTTGGCCACGCCGCGCTCTGACAAGGACGATGCGACTTGGAGCACGGTGTCCTCAAACTCGCGATACGTCACGTGCTTGTGCGAGATGCCACAGATGAGTGCGGGGGCGTCCGCAAAGATCTTGGCCGCTTGCTGGACGAGTTGCCACGTTGTGACGGGGGTTGCTGGAATGGGAGGGTACGCAGACTTGTAGATGCGCTGCTGGTGCGAGGGCGGCGTCGTTTTCGCGGCAGAGGCGAACCCGCGGACAGAGAGGACTTGGTGGCGACAGCGAAGAAGCATGGTAAGCGAGGAGATCGGCAAGTTGAACTTTGACGGTGTGCATCTGTGGTATGTTCGTTGACTTGAAGTACCATGGAAACCAGATGGAGTATCCAGGCGTACTTGACTCAATACAAACACCAAGTAAAAGGACTTGGTCGTAGAACAGACCTCATCCGTGTCGGTATAGCGGCACAGCCTCCCGCTTGTCCTGCCAGACTCGATAGGACATTCGGTGACGTACCCGACCAAGGCACTATAAGATTATACTCACGAACCTCCGCTACCGTGCGCTACAGTGTGCTCGATTTTATGGGGTATGGATGCTCGCTCTGTCATCGTTCGCTACTTTATGTTACTGAAACAAGGCTTGGTCAATATGTGGGAATTTTTTTAGAATTTGCCGAATTTGACCCCAGCCAATCGGCCGACATGTGTGTAGTAAGCAGGAAGAAAAGTTTCTCATTTACTGTACGTAGTAGTACATCATAGTTGGACGATTTTCGAATCAACGACATATTTATGGAATTCGTGCATTTTCGTCAGAATTCTCCTACTACGTAGTACTTGGAAGTACTATGTGGAACGTTACAGTAAAATGTTCAATATTACCTGTATAAACGGATAAAAATTGAATTTCCCAAAATTGGCATATTTTTGGTGAAAATCACATTCTTGGTCCAACTTATTATCGAGGTTTGTTGCGCACAAGTTGTTATAGTATACTTCGAAGTAATAATATAGTTTAGAAATGTCATTTTAATATATACGATAGTTAGTGGCGTTGCTACATATCGTCTGCTCCCGCGGCCTTTCTGGCATCCAGACAACTTCGTGGATACTTCTTTTCCCCTTTTTTTCATAGGTATAAGATTTTAGGGAATTTTTGCATCCAGGCCAGCCCTTATTAACGTTATGATGAATTTGGAATCAACCTCTAACAACTTGTACCGCTGGCTTCGAAATCGCACGATTTGTGGCAATAATATCAATATGGACTACAGTTCCACTCAACGTGCATAGTACGGAGTTTACTCAACAGGCATCCAAGGTTTCGTGCATGGGCAAATTCCAGTTCCATCGAGATTTTGAGATTCCCTCTCTACAAATTTCAAGATGATTCAAATTATGTGATATAAAAGGCATTGGCACGTAAAGTGAAGTGTTTCTACTGGCTGAAACGCGAATACTGTTGACTAACAGTTGATGCATCATCGAGCAAAAGTGAGCAAATTCAAGCAGAACGCAAAAGTATGGTGATGGAAAACATTGTACTGTTACGCTAGTAGACTGATGGAACTATTACTAATGAGTTGGTTTGATTTGTTATTCAAATCGAATTTCGAAGTATATAGGCCAATCAGAGTTGAAATCCTTCGTTGTCTGTACCTTGATCATATAGATTTGATTTTTGCATTTTCTCGACATATGATAGGTCATTGGGTCGTCGTTTGGACCAATCACAGAGTGTTGACTAAAATTGGAGATATACTTGTGAAGGTCTTCCACGATCATGCGACTCCTGATACGCCCAGGCAAAGCTTGGCGCATCCTAGCACATGGCCGTCCATACTCTACAGCGCCGCCGACGTCGGTGGCATCGCAACGAATCTACGTCTCCCCGCATGAGCATTTGGACTTGACTCCCCGCACAGCATGGGACATAGTGTCCGCCGCGTCCGCGTTGCATGCGGACAAGGTGGCATTGATCTGTGGGGTCACCCACAAGCAAGTCACGCATCGCGAGTTTGTCGTCAGCGTGAAAGCGATCGCAGCGTCGTTGGCGCAGCGAGGGGTTACCAAAGGCACCGTACGCAAAGGAACCATGACATCCGCCGCGTTCACAGATCGCCTCCCCTAGGTCGTCCTCACTAACATCGTCAACTGTGTCGAATACCCGCAGCTATACCATGGTATCGTTCCTTCACCCATCCGTTGACGATCATTTCCAACCACGATATACATGTCTAGCCCTGACCTTGCTTGGCGCCACCATGTCCCCAGCATCCCCGCAGTTTTCCGCGGCCGAGCTCGTCCGGCAGTTGCGTGCATCCAACGTCCGTCTCCCCTCGTCTTCCACCGCAAGTTCACGACCCTTCGTCTAGGCCTCCTTTATCGTGACCCATGAATCCGTCGAAGGGCCGGCTCAACAGGCCGCGCAACTCGCCGCCATTCCACTCGACAACTGCTTCTGCATCGGCCCATCGCCGTCGTCGTTCCAGTCCTTCTCGTTCGTGTTATATATATATATATATATATCGTCCTTGGTGACATGGCCAGTAGTGTATATTTTTTGATTTTTGATATTAATTACTAGTATTATAGACCATATTACAAAAAATATTCACAAAAATTCTAACCAAGATATACATTTGCAGAGTGCTCACAACCCCCTGTACCTCATGGCATGACGTGGCAGCACCATCTGTGGACATTATGAACGACACCAACTACCTCCCGTTTTCCAGCGGCACCACGGGAGTGCCCAAGGTTCATACACACATATATATATATAACAAGCCTGTACCTGTCACTCTGTTTTACGATTTGATCTTATATTTTGCCCTAGTGATAGTGATATAATATTATTTATATATATATGAGGTTGTTTATATACTATATTGTTGCTTTCCAATGCCTTCGTGATAATGGTGGCTAATTCCATCGTGTTTGATGGTAGTTGTGTATTTATCGCATAAAAAATAAAGTTCCCATGTACATACAAATACATAGATCGCCTGCATATCGTTATATCTTTTTCATCTTATGTTTGGTCAACAAATCCCTCTTGTTTGTATTTATGCTTGTTGTGCTATAGGGGGTCAAGCTATCATTTTGGAACATGGCGATAAATCTCGTCCAGATGGGCCACAGCGAGTCGTTCAACTCGCCTGCGATGATGGTGCTGCCATACTATCACATTTACGCCTCCACCCTCATGAATATGGTGCTCGTGTCTGGCTACGCCCAAGTGATTTTACCTAAATTCGACCACCGTCAGTTCCTCCACTGCCTCCAACGATACCGCGTACGGCACCACACCAACATATACTGTATATAATCCAACATATATATATATTTAATTAATATATCAATAAAGTCATTAGTAGTTTTTTTTTAATTATTAATATTTAGGATCCAACAAATATATTTATTTATAAATATTTAAGTCCATGTATAATAAATACATGAATAAAGTCCTTCATAATGTTTTAAAAATTATATATATATATATATATATACTGGTATATTTTATCGATATGATGTTTTTCGAGTAGATTACCAAAGCCCATATTGTACCCCCGATTGCTACCTTCTTGGCCAAGCATCCGATAGTGGACGAGTACGACTTGAGTGCACTGAGGATGCTCGTCTCCGCCGCGGCACCTCTGGGTGCAGGACTACAAGATGCCGTGCACCTACGACTGGGTATTCAAGTCAAACAATGCTATGGCTTGACCGAGCTCTCGCCCATCGTCAACTACTCCAAGGACGGCCACTCGAAACCCGTACGAATGATGTGTATACACAAAGATATTGGTATATGTATATATATAGTATTGTCGATTTGATACAAATTTGGGGAGGGGCCAAACCGATCCACAATCGATCTGATTGGTTGAATTTCATTGCGAAGGTTTTAATTGGTTAATAATTTTGAGCTCCTCTGAAGTAGCCAATCAAATCGATTTAAATTCCAACGAGAAACCGCAACACGAAATTTCACTCGAAAGCACAATATGTATATATATAGTATGTACCCTTATTTTAATATTTCGACCTTTATGTCGATATTTATGTCATCATTTGAAGCCGACTCGAGTTGTGCGGTGGTTGCTGTATAGCTTTAGTACTGTACCTGGTGACAACCCGCACCGTGACTTGTTTGATATACTAATACTCGTAATGGGAACAGCAGGACCATTTCTGATAGAAATTTATATATATATTTCCTTTCGGCCAAAATTGGGACATTTGGGCTACAGAAATTCTTCAAACCCGTCAATCGATTGTTTGTACTGTATTTCGTAAACACGTCCGATGTTACACTAAAATCTCAGCCCCCACACGACTTCGACTTTGAATGGTTTTAAAAGGGATACTTTTGATTGGTCGCTTGATTCGTATTCGGGGTTTTGATTGGTCGATGGATTTTGGCCCACTCAATCCATGTCAAATCGAAAGTAGACAAAAATATCTATATTTTGATGATTTTTTGGTTGATTTTTCGATAATATTTGGCAGGCGTCGACGGGAACGCTGGTGCCCCACACGGAGCTGCGGGTCGTGTGTCCGTCTTCTGGTGCGGACCTCCCGCCCGACCAAGTGGGCGAACTGTGGTACCGCGGCCCCCAAGTCATGCTCGGGTATCTCGACAACGACCAAGCGACAGAGGTAGTACGGTGCGGGTGTTGTTAAAACGAGGGAGTTGAATGGTTTCATGGGAACTGTAGGACACGACCACGACGTGTGGGTTCTTAAAGACAGGGGATTTGGGCTACATTGACGACGACGGCCACGTGTTTGTTGTCGATCGGTTGAAAGAATTGATCAAGTACAAGGGCCACCAGGTACATACAGTACATATAGTATATATACGAAACAAATCATAACCAAGTGTTTCGGACCTACCTCATTGCTCTATTGTGGATTCTACGGTACAAATTTCTAGATCCCGTCGAATCGAATCTCGCCGCCGAATCGAATAATCACGAATCGACGCTATTGGCTAATCTAATTTTTGCGTGGATTTGATTGGCTGTAACAGAATGGACCAGTATATTTAACCAATTAGAACTCCAGCATGATTCAATATTGATGTGACAAAAAACACGCGAATTTTGCAAGTTTTTAGCGAATTCACAATACAATTCCAACTCTATTATTTTGGTTTTCAATCTTACCGAGTCAGCTATTCCAATATTATTCTTAACCACACCCCTGAAAAGTCAAGACATGGTTTTACTTTTGTATTTCTTGTGTCACAGGAATATATATATATATATATATATATATATACATTTTGACCCTTGTTCATATATTTTTTTGTAGGTGGCGCCGGCGGAATTGGAAGATGTGATCATGACCCATCCAAGTGTGATGGACGTGGCTTGTATTCGAGGGTTCGTGTCTTTGTGTGTTGGTCGTACAATTGCGTGTGTATTGGTCGTACAATTGTGTATGTGTTGGTCGTACAAATACTTGTCGAAACCCAAATCCCGTGGAGACCAACAACCAATTAAATTGGCTGATGGCTGGTATTATTGTCCTGTTTGTACCCAAAATTTGGACTGTTAAAAGTGCTGATTTTCGCCAAATCTATCGATCGATTGTTTGTACTGACTTTTGTATGTAAATTTGTATGTAAAGTGTCGTCCGGTGGTGCTGGAATCACACTAATTTGAATTCACACACTAATTCAATGGTGACGATGGTTTCCTGCAGTCTGATTGGCTCAATTCTTCTGCCGATTCTTGTATACATATTTGATTGTGTCGATTCCTTTTCCATAATGTCGCTCCAAATTAGAATAAACTCAACTATACTATATATTGTGATAGATATACAGAAGACGGGGACGAAGTGCCTAAAGCGTGTGTCGTGTTGAAGCCAAGTCATGACGTGTCGGCTGCAGGTATCGCCACCATTTCTTTCCCCGTGACCTGTGAATTGGGACATATCCCAACGAATACATGGGTAGAGTTGATGGAGTTTGTGGCCGCCCGCGTTGCGCCGTTTAAAAAGGTGCGGCAGGTCGAGTTTGTGGGGACAATTCCTAAAAATGGCTCGGGCAAAATCCTACGACGACAGCTCCAGGCAGCCGCCCCTCCGCCGTCGTCATAACCAGTCAGTGTGAACCAGCACAAAAGTCCACATCTTATGATAAAAGGACAGCAATGTAATCTCCTAGACTATATATACTGTATACGGTACCGAATACAACTGCTTGGGTTAACTTGTAGACGACGACACCACGATTGTACTTACGGCTTCGTGTTGGTCAAATTTACATGACTAAATTCAATGGCCAATACGGCAACTTCCAACCTATATGACAATCTCATACTATAAACAAAGGATTCAAGATTGTATTCTTGTCCTATTCGCTGAAAAATTGGAGATTTGAATGTAAAACTGTACTATTTCAAAGTAGTAGTATACTTTTTGGGCGGGTCAAACTATAGCGATGCGCGAGTATTATTGGTTCAAATGTCTCCCTAGTGTCTTTTGATTGGCTCGGACATTCATTATTTGTTTATTTTTTATACTCTACTGGGCCGTCCGTATAAATTGGAAAACGGGTTTATCAAATATTGTGCTTTCGAGTAAAATTTCGTATTGAGGTGTGGTTTCTCGTTGGAATTTAAATCGATTTGATTGGCTACTTCAGAAGAGCTCAACATTATTGGCCAATCAAAACCTTCTCAATTCAATTCAACCAATCAGATCGATTGTGCATCGGTTTGGTCGGCGCGATTCGATTGCACCCCGTCCCCAAATTTGTATCAAATCGACAATATCATGATCTCGCCTTTTGCTGTTGTTGTGCCGACACAAATCGATGCAACGCCCGTCTTTGCTCGTTCTCGGTCACTTGGTCGATACAAAAGTCCACGTACTTTGCCGCAAACTTGGACACATTTGCCTCATCCGTCGACAGGACTGCCACTATAAGCTGCCGACACAGCACCGCCACCTGTTCCCGCATCGTGTCATGTATAAACGCATCGTCGTTTAGCACTACCAGTACCGCTCCAATGCACACTAAAAGCGACGCCATCTACACTCGAAAATCAGCAAAGATATAAACTCAACATCCGAAGTCAAAATACATGATATATTGTAGATTCGGTACGAATTTCCAGACCCCGTCGAATCGAATCGTCGAATCATCACGAATCGACCCTATTGGCTAATCCAATTTTGATCCGTCGAATCGAATCATCGACTAATCCAATTTTGAGTGGATTTGATTGGCTCGAAAGGACAAGTATATTCAACCAATCAGAAATCGAGCGTGATTTAATATTGATTAGACAAACCACGCGAATTTTGGAAGTTTATAGCAATATATTGTGTTGTGTTTATTCGAAATTCGGGTGGAGGGCTCCATATCGAATGAGCGAGCACCACACCAAATCGCCAGGCAATCGATCGACGAATCAAAATCCAGATCATTAACCAAGTAGCCAATCAAACCCACTCTTCGACGAATAATGCAACATTGAAGTACTGTGTGTGACTTCAATTAGTGTGACACTGGACGATTTTTACATCAAAAAGTGAGTCCATAGATAGAATCTATCATCGATAGATTTGGCGAATCAGCACAAAAGTCCAAATTTGAGGTATAAAAGGACAGTCAGGAGAATGAATCGACCCAACACCAAATAAATGTACAAAAGAATCATCAGCAGAAGCATTGGCCAATCAGATTGCAGGAACCCTTCATCAAAATTTAATTAGTGTATGACTTAAATTAGTGTGATTACTAAAAGCACACACCACAGGACCCCTTGTTCCATACAAAAGTCCGTACGGAACGAATCGATCATCGATAGAGTTTGGCGATTCAGCTCAAAAGTCCAAATCGTGGGGTATCAATCACCACACAACAGTTCCAAGGGATATTGTTTATGTGTTTATTCTAAACTGGAGCGACATGGAGAATGAATCGACCCAACCAAATAAAGTACACAAGAATCATCAGAATTTAGCCAATCAGATTGCAGGAAACCACCATCAAGGTCAAATAAGTGTGCGGTTTCAATTAGTGTGATACCAATCTTTTACATACAAAATTCTGTACAAAGAAAATCGATCGATAGATTTGGCGATTCAGCACAAAAGTCGATCAAATTTTGGGTAAAAGAAAGGCAATATAAGTCCAAATTCTGTACCGTCGAGGTGGCTTCACCCAATACAAGTTCCACAGCCCAGATCAACGGTCGTACACAGCTCACGGGGTGGGTGACGTGGCACGCCACCGACGCACTTCGAACTGCCCACAACGCCATCGTCCATTCAAATTCGAGCTCGTCATGTTGTTGCTTTTGTTGCTCATTCACCACACTAGAAGGTAGGACGAGGGTGGTGGTGGTGCTGCTGCTGCCACGTGGAAGTTCTGGGACCAACTGCGGCAATACCACCGCCACAAGGCGCTGGAATTGGACGAGATTTGTATGGGGAGCCACCACGTGCATGGCAAATGTGGTGGCCGTCAACGCCCACAACTGACTTGCACTTTGCTCATGACGTGGCAGCCCGCCGATCGAGCAGCGGTGGAGCACCGGCAACGCAGCTACGCACTCTGGGTGGTCTAATATGGCGCCCCATATAATGGGCTCAATGTGTGCAGCCCATTCAACTTGTTTGGTGGCCAGTGCACATTTCAACCACGGAAAGTCGACGTCGTTTGCGAGCATGAGATACAGTCGAACGTCGTCGCATACGTCGACCAGATGCGACCATGTTGGAGGGTTGTCGTCGGCTAGTTGGAAGGACTTTGTAAGCTTAACGAGTGCTTGGAGAATGGCTTGCACGACTTGGATGTGGTCATATGAGGCTAGCACTGCATCTATACACTTGCCAAGTCATATATTTGGCAACTGGAGAGTAGTCGGTAGGATAGAATGTAGAGCAAGTTTGCCAATGCTCGAGAAAAGTGATATGATTGGATAAAAAGAAGGCAGGTTGCATTATGATTGGCTAAAATGAATCCACCCGAGGAATTGTTGAGTACAACACGCAATAAACACAAAAGCAAAGAAGGTTGCAATATGATTGGATAAAATGAAGAATATGCTAAATATTCACCAAAAACGACACCTCTCAAACTTGGATATATATATCATATTTCGCAGGTTATCTGGCGAAACTACGTGTAGTTCATATGGAGTACTGCACTACTACTATGAATATACAGGAAGATACACTATTAATAGTTAGTATACCTCGAGATGGCATCGCCCAAGTACGTCGCAGTTCGAGTACGGCCAGCTCCAGCATCGCCGTGAGTTGGTCCGCCGCTTGAGAGAAGGCGATGGCACTAGTCGTGGAATCAACGACTAACGCGTGTGCCACCAGCCATCCATTCCTTCGCTCTAACGGCACCCTGCTGGTACTAATAGTAGTACTACTAGTACTACTAGTAGTACGACCACAACCAGGTTCTTGAACCACCAGTGGAACGATACACGCCGCACAAAACTCTGGCAGGGTGATGAGGACACCGTCGTCGTGTTGTTGTGGGTCGATCAGTCGTCGAGCCCAGTCTGTCGCAGATCGCCACTCTGTCGCAGACGTTGCGAATGCGGTCAAGAACGTCGTCGCAACTGCGTCGATCAGTTGGCCTCGTGGGACGAATGGCGCGAGCATATACAGCACATCCATACAAACGGGTTGGTTCTCACGGGTGTGGAGGCCATGCTGTAGCAGCGTTTCAATCACGGCGATAGGGTCGAAGGCCGCGCATCGAAGAAGCGCATGCGACGGGGTTGCACATGTGACAAAGTTCATGAGCGATTGAATGGCAGAGCTGTTGCATGCTAAAGAAGCAGCTGTAGCAGAAATAGAGACAAGATGGCGATGCTGGTGAATGACCCAGCCCACGTGCATGCGCAGGACGTGGACGTCGTCGATGGTTTCCAGGTACTGCCGCAGCCATTGCATGTCGACACGGGACCAATGGGATGCCGTAAGTAGCCTCGAGAACGTCTGCAGCGCTTGGTCGTGCTGGAGGATGGGTTCGGCATGCCAGTCGTCTTGAGCGCCGCCGTCATGTACATGAAGCATGGCAGTGTCGTGGGTAGGTGGTGGCGGAGTAGTGGAGATGTATGGGGCACAGGCTACTAATGTAAGCAATACATGTAAATATAAAAGGATATGTCATTCAAGTTGATTCAACACTCGTGAACATTTGGTTGCTCGAAGAAGCAGCTCCCGTGAATTATAATAATATATGAAGTGGATTCGGTCCAAATTTCAAAGAACAGCGAAACTCGACACGATTGGCTCATTTCTTTTTAATAAGCGTATCTGATTGGCTCGTACAGAATGGACCAGAATATTCAGCCAATCAAAAGCGTCAGCGTGATTCATGATTATTGATTCGAACAAACCCACGCAGTATATAGCGAAAATTCACAATAGGTTCGAATATAACATCTAAAGTTAACCATGGGTATAACACAAACGTAAATAATGCAACACATACTGGACTGGAGCAAAGCTTCGTGGGTGGGGTACACGACATACGAAGATGGAAGGCATTGGCGGTGGTCGCAGCATGCCACGCACGCCGTGGCGATGTCGGCAACCGAATTCGCGTCCGTTGCCGTGACGTGTTGCATGGCCGTGAGCAATCGTTCCACGACATGGGGATGATGTGGGGGGACAGACGACTCTACAGGTTCGAGAAGCATGGGAAGAGCACGTTATGAAGGAATCGTACGAGGAACTGCAGTTGGGGACGCTGGTTGAATGATGGCGTCGGAGCTCAACGTGGCAATGGCGCGCTGCAACATGAGACACGACGAGCTACTCGCGAGGCTCTCGAGTTGATGTTTCAGAGCTCCCTTGGCCGCGGGGGTGTAGGCCGCGATAAAGAGCGAAGATGCATACACCAATGCCTATATACGAGGTGGTGATGGACGGAGGTGGTGGAGACAGTTGATCCACGAACCTCGAGGGTAGTTGCTCTGGCAGGGTCATACGGAGGGGTACAAGACTGGTGGTATTGGAACATGTTTTGAATGCATGCCGTCGCGTCGGACGGATGCAAATGGCAGAGTACAACCACGAGGGGGTGTTGTAACTCGGCCGCTTCTATGGACAGGACCAAGTCGGACACACTGAGTTTCGACAAGGTGGCCGACGGGGCGATGTCTCCAGGCAGATGCGCGCGCAGTAAGGTCATGCATTGAGCAAGCTTCGTATCGTATGTCCACTCGACGGAGATGTGCGCATGGACACATTCCTTAGCCGCAAACGATGTCACCAAGCGCGAAGTGGCAGGATGGGTCTCCATGATGACAGCGAACTTAATTGACCTGATTGGTGAATGGCTCCGTTAAATGCGGTTCCTTGATTCACTATTCTGATTGGACACGTTTTCGTGCATTTGGAGCAGAAAGATGGAGGTACAATAGCCATGGCAACAAGTGATGGAGAAGGCACTCCAACTTGACAACTAGCTCGGTGCTGGCCTTAACTGCTCCTGTACAGGTACAGCTAGCTCCCTCCGTCGTCGACCCATGACCAATTGAACACCCATACTATATGTAGCCAGCTCCCTACTGTAACTCCAAGCCAATGGACCTCAAGTCCAGTGGCGACTGGCTGCAGCCGGTGATTCGTTAAAAGAACAACCACTAGCTGCAAGAGCTGTATGGGTTTAAGCTTCCTGGCCTACCACGAACGGAGTAGTAGTTATGCATATACGAACTTTGAACTGTACAAAGCGTCGAGTTGTGTGGGTAAAGTTGATATGATACTGTATTAACGTTAGTTAGAAAAGTAGTTGCAATCGACACAAAGTGGCTGATACCTCAACTATGTACTTCTACAAGTACATGTTATGCAACCAGGCTGTATGAACATGTCCAATGTTTGGCACACGCATGACAATATGTCGTTATACTATTGTAGTTCATTCAGGTTACGGAATGCTGGAGCCTGAATTAACTAGCAACCGATCGAATTGCGTGGGCACAAAAACAAGTCGATTAAGGTGTTGTCTTTGCCCTGCCAACTTGGCAGTACAAGGAGCACAGAAGAGGACGCTGTAGCTAGCTGGAAGTGCACTCCATGCTATCATTAAGCGTGAACTACGTAGCTATACTTTTGAAGCAGGATATCATTCACGCTGAAAGCTAGGACCAGTTGACAGTGTAAAGTCAAGCACCCCTTATCCCTTTCTACCTTGGATACCTCACACGATAGCCTTGCCTGGTGGCTTCAAGCTAAAGCGAGTCTCTCGCACCCATGCGTCTTCTGCTGCTGGTCTGGCTGGCATACACACGTAAACGTGAGCAATAAGTCGCGGTTTGTATGTCTCCTTCCCTTGAATATACGCAGTCCGTCCAGCTGATGACTCACGTCAGTTAATTCCTTTCATATCCACATCCCTACTAAGCTTAGTACAACTTTGAACGTCCGATGGACGAACACTTTCCAAATGTTTTCATTTTTTGAAACGGTCGATTTTTCCGGATTTTCCGGATATCTTCTCGTCGCTGATTGGTGGATGTTACGTGGCACGCTTTTGTCGAAGGTGTGAAACTTCTGGTTTTTGTGTGGAAAGACCTAGCAGGGCGCCTGCTCCGTCCCGCGAGCGCTAGTTTGCCTACCGCGCTCAGGCCCGCATTTGCGCGTGTGTGTGTATCTCCCTCCATCTGTCGCCGCAGTCGGTCGTGTCATGCATGAAATCACGGCCTGGTCCCAATGCAAAGACGCCGTCATGCAAGTTGCGCACACATCCACCACGACCTGTCAAGCATGCGAAGGCAAGATTGCCAGCGGCCAATTGCGCCTTGGGGTCATGTATCTGCATGTGGATGGGTTCATGCTCGTCGAATGGATCCATTTGAGGTGCCAGCCGTGGCGCGTTACCGCATTCGACTCGATCAGCTTCGTCGACCGCGGTTGCCTCAGTGTCGACCAAGCCCTCCACATTCGCCGATGGCTTGTCAGCTGCCAGACCCAACTCACTGAAAGCACTGCAAGTGACATCATAGCATTAGAGGCATGGCATGTAGTGATGCCGTTGACCACTTTGTAATACACGTACGAGGCCAGTGTTCTGAAAATGAAGTAACGAGGTCATTGGCATTTACGATATTGATCCACCACATACGAACAGCCTCGGATTACTATTGTATATTTCACTGTGCGTATACTCCAGTATGTAGTGTCCAATATGGCTATAACAGCGACGTTTAGTCGTCGAACTCAGGGTGTCCGATATACAACACATAGTAGACGGTTATTATATATTTCACTAGCGAGGTGGTGCTCGCAGCTCAGTGGCAACCTTTCGTATTCACTACTGTACTGTAGTACCTATTTGGGTCGTACCTACTACTACTAACGTTAAGACTACAGTAAAGTAGTCGATCATGGTAACTGTACTACTAGTAACGTTAGTCGAGAATGGCTCTGGCGAACTAGTCGTTAAGTACTCAATGGCTTTGGTTACTATCTACTACGTAGTACTACACATTACTCTTCCGCGTCGTGGGCCTTGGCCCGCAGGGACCACTTGTCGCGCTTGATTTCAATGTGGAGGGGGGCCCAATGCAGCTTTTCCGGCACCACATGCGGCCCTTTCTTGGTCTATTTCAACGACATGATTATATACATACACCTCCATTTCGACCATATATCAAAAAATATATATATATATATATAGCCTCTCCGAACAATATATTTATTTCCCAACACGTACGACTTTGTTGAGCTGATCGTCCACAACGTCGTCGCTTAAGACAAACACATACTGGCCGTTGCAATACCTATCCGACATGTATTTCACAATTGGCGACCAATCCCCCAACGTCACTTGTGATATTATATTTCGAGTAACCGAACCGTACTTGATAATATTCAAGTTTTGCAACGTGGTGACAATATCTTCGTTCTTGATGGACGTGAGTTTGGTTAAATCCATCACCGACAGTTCCTTGTGCTGGGGTTCCTTTAGAATCCCCAGTAATACCTTGGTCCAGTAGCTGCGGTAGCTCACCAGCCCTAGATCCGACAGTGGCTTTTCCGGGCTGCCCACCTACAGTACAACAACGAGCAATTGTATAGCGCTCTTTTGCTTACTTCTGTACCTTTTCCTCCTTTTTCGACAACTCGTACGAGAATTGAATGATAAAATTCCCATAGCCCTTGCGCTGGTGGCACGGAAATGTCAAGATGCACGCCAGGTTGTACCCCAATTCCGAGTACTTTTCTTTGGAAAAGTACCCCACCGGATGGAATCCACTACGTAGTACAGTATCAAAACATATTTATATATTTCACAACGATATAAATATATATATATATAGTATTTATATATTTCACAACGATATAAATATATATATATATATATAGTATTTATATATTTCACAACGATATAAATATATATATATATATATAGTATTTATATATTTCACAACGATATAAATATA